ATAAAGGTAAATCCATAAAAGCTTTCGCACAAAATATATAAAAGTGTGTAATTTTTATTTATAAGAAAATGTGTATAAATGGCTGATATTTTTGTTCGAGCATATTGTTTTTCTTAAATTGTAACATTTCATACCGATATAACATGTTACTTTTATTATTCTTCCCTTAGTTTATTTATTTTGTATTTACATTGTATCATAGGTCAAATTTCTTTGTTCAGTGTTTGTTCACTGGTGTTAATATGTCCTTTGATTGAGTTAAGCTATTTCAGTTGATATTTTATAGTGTGTCTTTCTATGTTGTGATGTTACACTATTGTTTCAGAAAAAGGGTGAAGGTTTGGTACCATTAAAACGTTTAAACCCGCTGCATTTGTTTGCACCTGTCCTAAGTCAGGAATCTGATGTTCAGTAGTTGTCGTTTGTTGATGTGGTTCATAAGTGTTTCTCGTTTCTCGTTTTTTATATAGATTAGACCGTTGGTTTTCCCGTTTGAATGGTTTTACACTAGTAAATTTTGGGGCCCTTTATAGCTTACTGTTCGGTGTGAGCCAAGGCTCCGTGTTGAAGACCGTACTGTGACCTATAATGGTTTACTTTTATAAATTTTGACTTGGATGGAGAGTTGTCTCATTGGCACTCATACCACATCTTCTTATATCTATATAAATATAAGTGGGACTACAGAAGATTTGCCATAAACAAAAATACGGTAAAGGACAAACACATGCATATTCAAAATCCCAAGGTTGATAAAACCCTCCTGAGTTTGAATATTGAATGGTTTAGGTAAAATATATAAAGAGGGTTGGTCGCCCGCTAACATGTTTAACCCCGCCACATTCTGTATGTGTGCCTGTCCAAAGTCAGGAGACTGTATTCAGTGGATTTCGATCGTTGCTGTATATCATATTGGTTTTCGTTCATTGTTTTTCATTTTACATAAATCAGGCTTTAAGTTTCTCGTTTGAATTGTTCTACATTTTTCATTTCTGGGTCTTTTATAGCTGATTATGTGGTATGGGTTTTTTTTTTAATGTTGAAGGTCGTACGATGACCTATAGTTGTTAACTTCTATGTCGTTTGGTCTCTAATTAAGAGTTGTCTCATTGGCAACTATTTCACATCTTTTTTATTTTTATATTAAGGAGTTTACATTGTTGTTTGCATATATCCATGTATTAATCCAAATGCTACTGTAAATACAACAATGCACATTTTTATTTTTATGTACAGTTTTTCATTGATAAAGAACATCATTAACTATCCCATAATTTACATGTGTAAGTAAACACGTAGCTTTTTCTTTCAATATAATTTTGGTTAAGGTTATGTGCTTGTTGTCATGGCTTTTTGTTTGTTTGCTTCTGTTATTCTTTGTTTGATGGAGTGGGGTTATGTGCCAAATTTACCAACATTGCAGTTTTTATCCACCTTTAGAACGAGACTAAGTGCGTCATAATGGTACACACAAGACGTATGTGTAGACGCAATAACCAAATTGACTATTTTAGATATTACTTAATTGATTTCAGCGGGTATTGGATACTCTGTAGTTCTGAATGTAAATTGAATTGCTAAAAGCTATTATCTTTTTTACACAATATTTGTCAAAACTACATGTATGTTTAAATACTGATTAGTTAAATGTATACCGCCATGCAGAACTTTACAGGATGTATACACTTTGCTTGTTGTGTTCGTGGTAAATTGTGATGTACTGTTTATTGTCAAGTATCATTGTATTGAAAACACGGGGTCTGTTGTCAATCCGACGTCACATTTGTGATCGCAATATAAAGCTCCATGCACTAAATTTTCTGTATAATATTTTTATGCCCCCGCAACTGAAAATTTGGGGAAATATTGTTTTACCCCTGTCCGTCCGTCCGTTCGTCCGATTATGGGTTTATAGTTATTCCAGACAACTCCTCCTACAGTTTGAATGCTAGGAAGTTTTCACTTTGCTGGCTGTTTGTACATTATATATTGAAGGTGTGCATGTGGTCAGGGTTTTGATTTTTATTAATATCTGCTCTTTTAGGAGATAGTTGAACTTTGTCATTTTTGGAGTATATACCTGCATGCGAGGTGTATAGCGTTTCCGGATAACTCCTCCTACGGTTTAAATGCTAGGAAGTTTTTACTTTGCTGGCTGTTTGTACATATATCGAAAGTGTGCATGTGGTTAGGGTTTTGATTTTAATTAATACCTGCTCTTTTGGGTGATAGTTGAACTTTGTCTTTTTTGGAGTATATACTTGCATAAGAGGTGCATAGCGTTTTCGGATAACTCCTCCTACAGTTTGAATACTCTAGTAGGAAGTTTTCACTTTGGTGGCTATTTTTACATACATTGAAGGTGTTCATGTGGTCAGGGATTTGATTTTTATTAATATTTGTTCTTTTGGGAAATAGTTGAACTTTGTCATTTTTGGAGTGTCAGAGGTGCATAGCGTTTCCGGATAACTCCTCCTACAGTGAATCATAGACCTATGTGCTCCCATGCTCAACTTTGTGTATTTTAAAATAACTCTTTGCATATGCGGGTGGATCATTTGTGTCTCCCAGATTCAATAAATTCTCAAAGAAAGTCCTACATTGACTTTGTTATAATACAGTTACGTCAGAGTGGAGTGCGGGTACATCACTTTGTCTAGTTTTTTTATATTCGTCTGTGTGTCAATTTGTTCAATGAGGCTACAAGACGGGGAATTAATTATCAATTTTCATCTGTCAAAACCAGAATCAAAGGAGCAATGTTTTTGTTGTGGTTCTTCATCTTAAAACACATTGAGGTATATACCACGCCAATGTTGATTGTTGACATCAGTTTAATTTGAAATATTTGGTTGATATCGATTACGCTATATTCAACATTTAAGAACTCAGCTGCTGAGTAAAGTACACAATGTACAGACCGTCAACTAAATCAAATTGACAAGTGTCATACCTTACCATGACAATCTCATTGAAAAATATACACATTGAAACAACCATGGTCACATCAGGATTCGTGTTAGATAACGTGACACGAATTAATGTATTAATTTTTTAAAAAGTTATAAGAATAAGATAAATTATTCAATATTAACTTCTCAGTTATGAGTATGAGCTTTTGATTTAAAATAGTTATAAGTAACCCATGAACCTCGGTAATTTTTTTTACATTTCCTTTTTCCGTAAACGTATCAAAAGATTATATAAGTCTGTACCCAATCAGCAATCATTTTAAGTATCATTGTACAATAAAACAGTCATACTCAGAGCTTAAGTGTGGGAAATCTGTCAATGACGTTAGATAGTTAATTCATCAGAAACGCATATCGTCGCTTTACCAATATCCGTAATATTTCATATCCAACCAGACTATAAAACACCTATAACAGTCTTTCACGTTAGAGGCTTAGAGGAAAATGAAGCTTTCTATCATCTTAGCTGTCTATCTGGTTGTATCAGTTTCTGGAACCTGGAATTGGCGTAAGTATATCAATTTTAAAGGATAATTATGTGGTTCACATTATTTTTCAGAAGTCTTATACTATATTAATTTATTATCCTAAGACTACAAATTTAACTTTAAACGGTCCGTCTCATTGATTTTGCATAAACGGTTGTGTTTTTTTTAAGTTTAATCAGTTCGGGCGTTGATTAGGCTTGAATTTGGCTATATTTAGCTGTCTTTTAAATACACATACATTTGATCATTAACACTATGGGTACTATATTTTAAAAAGCTTATAATTAGGAAAAACTTGATATGTTTTGTGTCTCATGGTTTATTGAATATCAGTGGGGAATAGGTTACTTTAACAATAAAATATGTTTCCAGGACCAAAACTTTTAACCTAACTGTTCATTACCACCAGCTATCATGTCTTTCCAGGAACAACTCCTGAACCCAATTGTTCCTTACCATTAGATTTTATGTTTTTCCAGGAACAAAACCCGAACCCAATTGTTCCTTACCATCTGATTTTATGTTTTTCCAGGAACAAAACCCGAGCCCAATTGTTCCTTACCATCTAATTTTATGTTTTTCCAGGAACAAAACCCGAACCCAATTGTTCCTTACCATCAGATTTTATGTTTTTCCAGGAACAAAACCTAAACCCAATTGTTCCTTACCATCTGATTTTATGTTTTTCCAGGAACAAAATCCGAACCCAATTGTACCTTACCATCTGATTTAATGTTTTTCCAGGAACAAAACCCGAACCCAATTGTTCCTTACCATCAGATTTTATGTTTTTCCAGGAACAAAACCCGAACCCAATTGTACCTTACCATCATATTTTATGTTTTTCCAGGAACAAAACCCGAACCCAATTGTACCTTACCATCTGATTTTATGTTTTTCCAGGAACAAAAACCGAACCCAATTGTTCCTTACCATCTGATTTTATGTTTTTCCAGGAACAAAACCCGAACCCAATTGTACCTTACCATCATATTTTATGTTTTTCCAGGAACAAAACCTGAACCTAATTGTACCTTACCATCAGATTTTATTTTTTTCCAGGACCAAAACCCGAACCCAATTGTACCTTACCATCAGATTTTATGTTTTTCCAGGAACAAAACCTGAACCTAATTGTTCCTTACCATCTGATTTTATGTTTTTCCAGGAACAAAACCCGAACCCAATTGTTCCTTACCATCTGATTTTATGTTTTTCCAGGACCAAAACCTGAGCCTAATTGTTCCTTACCATCTGATTGTATGTTTTTTCCAGGACCAAAACCTGAGCCTAATTGTTCCTTACCATCTGATTGTATGTTTTTCTAGGACCAAAACCTGAACCTAATTGTACCTTACCATCAGATTTTATGTTTTTCTAGGACCAAAACCTGAACCTAATTGTTTCTTACCATCAGATTTTATGTTTTTCCAGGAACAAATCCTGAACCTAATTGTTTCTTACCATCTGATTTTATGTTTTTCCATGACCAAAACCTGAACCTAATTGTTCCTTACCATCTGATTTTATGTTTTTCCAGGAACAAAACCTGAACCTAATTGTTTCTTACCATCAGATTTTTTTTTTGCCAGGACCAAAACCTAAACCTAGTTGTACCTTACCACCAGATTCAGGAAAGTGTTCCTTCTGGTTAAGACGTTTCTACTATAACACGGCAACCGGAAGGTGCGAGGAATTCCACTACAAAGGTTGTAAGGGGAACACAAATCGTTTCAAAACTTTCAGAGAATGTAGTGACACATGTGAGTAAAAGTTTTATATCAAATTCCTTTAAGTTACTTCTTTCGTTTTATCTTCTGTTGTCACGAAATACGTGGTTGCAAAATAAACAGTAAGGTTGGCACAACAATTTCATAACCTACAATATTGTAACTATATGAATACAAATGTTTTTGATAAGTGTATCTACAAACTTATGCCCGACAGTATCTTCAACAATATATTTTACATGAGATTCACAAGGTAACAGTGTTGGAGAAGGAACTTCCTACCTTTCAATATTTTATCACAATATGTTTTGGAAGATCAACTCAATCTCATATCGATGACTATCCTTAAAAGTGAATATTGGTTTATTATAAAAATGCATTTGACCTATTGATGAATAACAGTTGAAATTGTTTTTTGCAACTCTTTGGCGTGTTGAATTAAATAAAATTTTAAAATGTTAACGTTCTGCCCATTGGACTAAACGTTTTGAAAGCACTAGACCATACATCTTTTTAATTTAGGCTGTCATCAAGGAAATAGTGGTGGAAATGGCGGAAGCGGCGGTGTTTGGAATGGTGGGAATGGGGGAAGCAGTTTGAATGGTGGAAATGGCGGAAGCGGTGGTGTTTGGAATGGTGGGAATGGGGGAAGCGGTTTGAATGGTGGAAATGGCGGAAGCGGTGGTGTTTGGAATGGTGGGAATGGCGGAAATGGCAGAAGCGGTGGTTTTTGGAATGGTAGAAATGGTAATGGGTAATGGAGGAAACTGTAAAAATCATGATATAACCACTGACCAGGTTCCGGACTATGGACGTTTGAACATAGGACAGGATCATATTCGTTTATTTGCATTCATATTTTATTCAATGTAAAACAAAAATATACAAATACTTCTATTCACATGCGTCTTTATTTGTTGGTGTTTTTGGATATCTAATAAAAAAATTAAAGTGTGGGGTAAACACCAACAAGACAGAAACTCGGCAACATAGATAACCAAAATACATTCAGAGGTCAACATAACAGTCTCCAACAATGGATAGATGTCTTAACGTCAAGTTCCAAATCATCCCGTGTTGGAAAAGTTGTCATCAAGTTTAACAAGACCTAATAGATGAAATATATGCTATAAACCCAACATTATGAACAAAATGTTAAAATATGACACATGAAATACTTTTGACAGGAACATGAACTTGTTGAGGGTGAAACTAATCTAAAATCTGTTGTAATTTTAATATGTTTCATTCTATTTTGGTATTTAATTTCAATGTAAAGGAAACACATGTATGTGATTTATGCACCTGTGATGGATAATCATCCTTACTGACTAATGTCCGAAACTAGATTGAAAAAGGAAACCGAACGACAGTAAACTCATACGTCTGTTTATTATTTCTGTTTGTTATATTCAAATTTTGTTGATGAAAATTAATGATTTAATTTGAAATTTAAGTATTTTTTGTTTACAAAAGAGAGCATTGAAAGACATCAGTGATTAGTGACCAAGGTGTAAGACCAGTTTACTTAAGTTACATAAGAGTAATACATATTCATACTTATTGCCGGCATATATTGTTCCAAATGGAACTTTACCACACGTTCTTATACTCGTTTGTCTATCAATATTTATTTACTGACAATAAGCGTGTATGAAGTTGCATCTGTCAAAACGGAAAACCCAAAACAAAAGATCTTCGCTTTCGTTGTGGGCTTTATTCTAAATGTTTCAGTGAAGTCACAACATAGAAAAGCTCTCTCCTAACTGCACGTTCAAAACGATTATAGCCATGATAGCACCGATTTAATTAAAATGTTTATTAGATATCGTTACATAAGGGTGTGGTTGGGAGTTAACAGAATAGAGAATAATGGGCAAAGAATATAAAGAATAGAGAACAAATGGATCAAAAACTAAATAGAGAATAATGAGGTGCTAAAATATAGAGAATAGAGAATGACGGGCAAAAAATATAAAGAATAGAGAAATTAAGGATCCCCATCCAGACTGATAAATGAATCTAACCAGTACTGTCATACCTTACCAAACAACGTCATGGTAAAATACAAAACAAATAAATTCGAACAATCATGGGTTACATTTAGATATTTGTTAGATAACATGACGGGAAATAATACGAAAGTCGGTCATGTGAGCACAAACTGTGTTGTTATAAAAGCCTATGTATCAATAACGGACATACTATATAGAAATGGAATATGCTTCTGTCAGTTAAATAAATGGATAACTATAATTAAATAATTGTTTCATTAATTAATAAGCATTACTAATTTTTCGCAAAAATATAATTAAAGATAGCAAACTTCAGCTGTGTACGCAAGACGAACATTTCTAATGTTTTTTACATAAATTTTAATGAAATGTCCCTATCCATCTCCTTATATCTTATCCTATTGATAGCACAATTATTTACCAGTCATCCTATAAACGATCGTCCTGATCATGCATGAAATATTTGCCACTGGACGTTAAGCAACCCACAATCATTGAAACATATAAACGAAAATACGCATATAACATAAATGTTAACAATTTACATACAAACCCCGTGATAGCTGAATTGATAGAGCGGAGGCCTGTAGTGGAATAAGATATCTTTAGATCGGTGGTTAGAATCAGTCTTGTGGGATATTGTTTCTCATTTTACTTTCAAATTTTAAAATGTTGAAAAAGATTTTTAGCGAGTGCACAATATGAGCTTATATGAATGTACAACATTTAACAGTTTTGCATTGTTGATCGATCATCGGAGTAAGCATACCACGAAATTGGCCTGAATATTAAAATATTGTAAATGCATTTGTATCATTTTGTTTTATCACTTAATTCTTGTTGTCTACAAATAAAATGCCCAAGACTAGTCGGATACTGTAGCATGTGTAGTGTACGCTTAAAGGTATCATTTGTTGATATCCTACCTGGGCAACTGAGATCAAACCCGATTTTTGGTGGAGTTTGTGTTGCTCAGCCTTTAGTTTTCTATGTTGTGTTTTGTGTACTGGTTCTTCATCTTTTGTTCTTTTTTCGTTTTTTGCTAATGAGTTTGAATATCACTTTGGTATATTTTACCTCTGTTTCACTGGCCAAGAGGGAGACTAGCTCACATGATAGAGCGTTTGAAAAGCATGCGAGAGGTACCGGGATCGATGCAAAGGTCTTCCGAAAATTTGTTAAAGACGCTTACACTAATTTATAAGTTTTTCTGTAGATTTTAAGTGTTGAAAATGAACAGAAGTCAGATGAGAACAAAGTAGATAATGGTATCCGTTCAAGTAAATGCATAGTGTTTATATACATCCTTCTAGCCTAGAGATTATCAGATCTATTTAACGGTTTCTTTCGTCACATTCGGTGTGTATTGTATGTATGATCTGGCTTAAAGGACCAAAGATGCGGTGAGAATCAAATTTAGTCAATCTGAGTGTCTTTTCACACATATGTGCATGTTTGAAAATGGCTTTTTCATGAATTTGAAAGTTTGTTAGATGGTCAGAACTAAACTCAGCGTCTTTTTCAATAAACCGTAGAACTCAATATGCTCCAAATAAAAACGTTTAAAATTAAGCATTGAAATACAGTACAGTGAACTAACAACATTAAAGAATCGGTGACTATTCATGTCTGCACAGGAATGCTGACTACTGTGCTAATGGTGCGCTGGGGGACGAAACAACCACAACTATTGGCATAGACATACTCTTAGATGAAACAACCACAAGCATTGACATAGACATATATTTTTACCAATTTACAATGCTAACAGGAAGCACCACAGCTTTAAAGAATAAATAAAACTTTTAAAGAATAAACTGCACCATTCAAACTAATAACTTGTCCGAGGAAAAAATGAAAATGAAAAGACAAACAAAAGAACAACACATTTGCTATATAGTCTAACTTGGTATAGTCATCAAATGACATGTGTCATGGGTGTCAAGACCTACCTTTATGCCTATCAAAACCATTTGTTGCAAACATAAAGCGTTAAATAAAGAAAACTGCCTATTTCAGTCTGTCATTTGTTTTGATGTACAACACTTGGATGTTTGCTCCAGCTCTGTTTTGTCCTAGTTTATAATTAGATTTAATCAAAAATGTTTTATATTTTTATATAATAAAACAGTGAGGAAATATACTTCTAATATATCCGTTATCATTATTAAGAATACTATTCAAATGTTTTCGTTAGAAAGACTATTATACAAGGCCAGGAGGACCTTTTGGTGTTTATTACTGATAAAATATGTGGATTGCACAGTGACCATATAATTTTCATGAGAGTGTTTTTATATCCTCGTTAACCTGACATAATACATTTAAATGTATAGATGAATGAGATAGAAAAGAAAGAAAGAAAGAAAGAAAGAAAGTAAATAAATCAATCAATCAATTAACCAATGAATAAATTAATGATTTAAACCACGATATAAGTATATATAGAACAAGAGAATAAATAAATAAAATAAGAAAATAAATAATAGAATAATGAAATGAATAAAATATAATTCATTGAATATCTAGATAGACTGAGCTGTCAAAACCTGTTCTAGAAAACAATGATAGACTCTGTTATCAGGTCGAACAGTTAAATTCTGTTCTAGGATATAACTCTGCGCATACTGTTTAGGATGGAACTGTCCAAAACTGTTCCAGGAGAGAACTGTTCAAAATTGTTATAGGGTCGAACGGGTCAAAACTGTCATAGGGTAGAACTGACCCAACTGTTAAAGATCGTCATAATATGTTCTGGTGTTGGTTAAAACTATTCATAAGACAACATGAGTTTGCCAATATTTAAATCTCATATATCGATAAAGTAGCCAAATCAAGGTAACAAACAAAAACTAAGGGAACAGCGTGAGTTCCAATAGGATAAAAAGTCTGTCGAAAACTGTTGTAGTTTAGAAGTGTCTAAAACTGTTCTAGGTTAAAATTCTCTACGGCTATTCTAGTGTAGAACCGCGTCTTTCCGGAAGATGCCAGGATAACAGTCTATAGACTGTTTAAGTTCTCCTGACGTCTGGCAATATTCTAAGAAACGCATCCCAGCTGTTCGTTCTTCTGAAGGATAAACATTTCTTGCTCCACTAATCCAACTGATCACGGTTAAAACTTGTCCCACCTGTGACGGTATAGGATTACTCATTGCTAATCATGCCTATACTCTTATGTTTATAGTGTTAAGTATAACCCCTGCATAGGATGACTATACACGTAAAATGGACATAATTAAAGAAAGCTCATACATATAATGTGGTCATTACTGCAAAAGTATACATGTAGCTAAGGTGAATACAAACAATTATAGATCTACGAAAAATAATTAGGCCTCTTACATTTCGTATCCTTTTTCAACAATTATTCCAATAATAAGTACACTCACATAAATAGTTTAGAACAGTTAATTGGGTTTTGATTATGAAATTTATTAATATCATTTGCTTATGATGTTTTGCACTTGACAGGTAAATGAGAAAGCCTTTTAGATTGTCATGTACATCATACAATCAATCTAAATAATAATCGTTATATATTTTATAGCTGTAAGTCTGATTTTTATTCAATTATATATCACGGCGAGTGCCAATACTTCCATAGGATAAACAGACCTTTACAAAGCAGCTTAAAATTACTTCACCCCAATTTTTGAGGGTTTCGTTTTACTAATTTTTTAGTTTTCTGTTTACTATTCTGTGAACTGTTTGTCTTTAAAATTTCCATTGTTATCATATTGTAATCGCAAAGAGGTAATTACAATAGCAGTTGAATACTCAAAGACGGAGACAAGGAAAGCTATAAAACGATACCAGTACGCCTTGCAAAACCCATGTTTACCCCCTTCCAATTAAAGCAATGGAGATTTATGACTTTCTTTGAG